TATACAGGCAGTCCCCGAGTTACGCGGATCCGACTTATGTCGGATCTGCAGTTACGAACGGGCCGTCTCCCTGGTCTCCAGCAGACCAGGGGGAGGAAGCAAAGCGGCAGAGCACGTGGGCAGCGGGACAGCCCAGACGCGCCGTGGCTGTCCTGCTGCCCTCGGGCTCCGCGGTTTTGCTCTGCTTTGCTCCCCGTCCCCCTGGTCTGCTGGAGAGAGGGCCCCGTTCGTAAGTGCGGATCCGACATAAGTCAGATCTGCGTAACTCGGGGACTGCCTGTACTGTAACAGTATATCTTATTAAAAACACCCTCCACACTTACACACTATATTTGCAGCTATTCCATGACCTCCACCCACTTAGACATATTGCTTGCATATTAAGCAGAAAAGGGAGATGAAAGGAAAGAACTGTTAAGGTTAGAAATAATCAATATTAATATACAGAAGTGAGTTTTATGGCCCATGGTATTAGTAAAAGCTATAAGCAGCATAGTTTTATGGCTGTGTATTTCTTAGCATACAAAATGAAAACACTTCAGAATGATCTCACCAATTCTGGGATAGGGATGCTAAATATTGGTTAATTGAACAGTTGATTAAACTCATGAATTATCTTTGGTTACTCGACTATTCTATAGTCTCCTGGGGTAGGACCGGCAGCCAGTGTGCTCTGGCCCCACTCCCAAAGAGCCCCCTGCAATCCCATGCTGCTGTCTCTGTAGCAGAGGCAGCAGCATGGGGTTCCAGGTGGGAACTGGTCCATGAGGGGAGTCAGTTTAAAAACCAGCTCCCTCATGGATCAGCTGCCTATCGCACTGTGCTGTTCCCTCTGTATCAGCAGCTGCTGTCCAGGGGTGGGGGTCTGAGCTCCCAGACCTGGCATGAGCCCAAACTGAGCCAGGCTCCCTGCTTGCTTGCCTGGCTCCTAACATACTTTAAATGCAGAGCCGCAGCCGGGGCGCAAGCCGGGACTGAGCCGGGCTGCTGACCAACCTGCTAACAAATTTACTGGCGAGGGAGTGGGGGGGAGGTATTTGAGAATGCACGTCGTCTGTAACATTAACAGAGAAGCTTTTGCTTATCAGTTAATCGGTTAATTCAGCAGTTCTCAAACTTTTTGGGCTCCGGAGCCCTTTACATGTGTAAAAATTTATGTGGAGCCCCAGTGGTCTACTGATAGTATGTGTTGTACCTATCAATGTTTCCAGTTTGTCAACCTCGCGGAGCCCCTGGAGATGTCTCGCGGAGCCCTGGGGCTCCACGGAGCACAGTTTGAGAAACACTGGGTTAATTGACTACACTAATACATCCCCACTCTGGGATACACTAACTATGCAGGATCATACAACATTTGAGCTCAGCAGTAATTAGGGCCCTACAAAGAGGCTGTTGAAAGTGCTGAGCCTTGTGAAGGAGACTCTGAAGATAAAGGGGAGAGATGTAGGTGAGCACAGGAAGGTAATAGAATCCCAGAGGACTGTTACAAAGTCTGTAAGTTTGGATAAGCATTGGGGGGGAAAAAAGAAGAATACCTAATTCTTTTTAAGAGTTCCCAACACAAGCTGTCTCTGTTGTAATTTCTGAGCACTATCTAAACCAGAATTTCTTTTGGTCTGACTCTCCATCAAGCATTTTATCTGAAAACATGTAAAAAAAAAAGACTCGATGGAAATAATCTTTTCTGCCATCATGAAATAGTGAACAAAAAGGTCAAAGGAAGTAGCTCGTTATAATGTGTGATATTAATGATCTATCAACAGCATTCATCATATTACAGAAGACAATAATGTGACCCGAAGTTAGAGCAAAACTTATCAACATCAAATTAACAGAATGACAAAAGTCTCAAGTTGATGCTGGATTATTTTACAATAAATACTCCTCTTCCTCCCCTTTTTAAAAATAGCAATGGTATCTCAAAATAAATTGCCATTTGTCTTTTTCTCTCTCTCAGGGTAAGAGAATTTGATTCACATCTCCCACTGTTAAGACATTTACTCATGTAATTCCCATAAGACAAACCTAAGAGTGATTCTGCCCCCCAATAATTAGCAAAACATTTGCTCTTGCCAGCCTTTGATCACCCAGGAATCATTTTGTTGCCCTAAGCACTGTGTGTATAGTTGAAACATCTTAAGATAGGTCCCCATGTGCTGCGCAGAAAATAATTCCTCAAGTTCATAATATCTTCAGTTAAAACTACAAATCATATTTAAAAAGAGACGTGAGGATTAAAGTCACATTATCAATGTATCTAGTATGAGGTTAGTTTCCTGGGAGCAGAGAAAGCTTCTTGCCAAGTCAACTCTCTTCACTGAGAAAAGTGGTGTTCTCTATACAGGAACTGCCAAGCAGGATGGGTTATAGATTTTCACTAATTCATCCCAAGCGCAGTCTGCCACCTACAAAGCAAACACAGTCCATGTTACAATTATTGGGAAGGTAGTTTTGGATGCAAAAATTAGAAGGATCTGTTAATTAAAAGAAAAATATGCATGGTGTTGGATTTAGATTGTTGCCTATTTTTTATAATTTCTTAATTTCTGACATGAATTGTAAAATGCAATGTTGTTGTGGCCGGATCCATCCCATGATATCAGAAGAGATAAGGTGGGTGACAGAACATATTTTATTTTCTGTGGGTGACAGAGACAAGCTTTCAAGCTTACACAGAACTCTTCTTCAGGCCTGGGGAAAGTACTGTCACAACTAAATACAAAATACATTCACCTTGAATGGTCCTAGAAAAGTTGGCCTTGGGACGGGGGAGCATGCAAAGTTTCTTCCGCCCTGCCCCCGCCCTGCAAGCAGCGCATGGTGCTTAAAAGTGTCACATGCTCCTGGAAGGGTGAGAGGAGGCTTTGTGTGCTCCTCCACCCCCAGACCCTGCCAGGAGCGTATGGCGCTTTTAAGAACCATGCAGGATAGGGACAGAGAGGAGGAAACTTCGCATGCTCCCCTGCCCCCAGACCCTGATAGGCCTGAGGGCAAGGGAGCGCATGGGAAGTCTCCTCCCAGCCAGGGGCATGGGCCCCAGCCTTCACCAGCCCTGTCAGGAGCACCTGGCGCTTCCAAGCCCCCAGGCCCTGATTAGCCTTGGGGCGGGGAGCATGGGAAGTCTCCTCCCAGCCAGGGGCATGGGCATCTAGGGGAAAGGGGGGGGCAGGCGGGCAAAGGTGCTCCCCCACCCCCAGACCAATCCTGGTCTGGGGGTGGGGAACGCAGAAGTATCCCAGCCCTGCCACTTCTGCTCAAGGCCCTGCCCCTTCTGGGGTGGCCTGGGGCCACTTCAGAAATGTTTGAAGTGGCCCCCGGCAAAAAATTATTGTCTACCCTGATCTATGTTAACTCCACTTTAACAATACTACAGCAGGATCTAAGAGAGTCTTTTTCTAAACAAACCCCTACAATCTCTTTTTAATGCAAATTTGATGAAGGTTAGTATGATTCTACAGCACTGAATAAAAATCAATATTAACAGACAGGAAAAATAACTTTCATAAAACCAGATTACAAAATGCTTTAGGTTTGATAAAGCAGTTAGAGATTCTCTACTGAAGTAACAATACCAAATAAACAATTATGCAACAGAATTATGTAACAGTCTCATAAGTAGATTGTTACAAAACAGTGGTGGATAAAGAATTTTTGATGCTTTGTTAATTGGGTGCAAAAGCTTAGTTATTTGAGGTACTTTACATCCTAAACAGAATGGAATAAAAACTCACATTATGTGTGTTCACATGACATAACAAAACCTTGTGTGATATAACATTTTGCTATATTGCAGTATTTCCTCCAAATGTATAATGCACAAATAAGCATTTTTATCCTCCCCACATGTATGGGTTAGTACTACACTGGCAATTTTTCAAGAGGAAACAAGACATGGAATAGCACTGAAAAATCCCTGGGGAATCCCCACCTATGATCAACTTAATTAGCACCACACAGCAAGCTCTGAATAAATATAGAACCATGTAATCTAATAAGAATAAATGGAGTATATACAAAAGGCAGTTTGACTAGGACCATTAGGGTTAATTCAGCCCAACTTGCTAATTTTCTCTGCTAGTACATAAATGTGGCTAATTAGAAGGAAGAAAATAAACTAACAGCAAATAACTCTGGGTAATATCTCCCTGTGCTGTGTGAGGTCTGTATGTAAAGCTCATGTTGGAAATGATGCTAAACAAATTCTATGCAACCAAAAAGGATGGATGACTGATTTAAATCAAAGCGACTTAAAATCTTTGATTTAAATCAGCAGAAATCCTTAATTAAAACCCTCAATCTGAGTTTCGGCTTGCATTTATACTTTACAGGTTTTTTCTTGATGCAAGATCGATTCTCTCTCATTGGTAATTTTTAAAATGCTGATTATCAATTAAATACAGCTTTTTACTACGTTGGGGCTTCTTTTTGCTAACTAGGAGGACAAACTAAATGTATACATTTAAGCAATTTTAGTTTCACACATTTATTCAGAATTAATTTTTACATTTTAATTATGTTAGAAAATGCTGAGTAATGGATTTCTTATTCACTGGATGATCATTACAATTTTTGCTCACAATTTGTGCCACACTATGATGAGTGCATTATGAACATGTGCATAGAAACACAAAAAGAACAAATCATTTTCAATAAAGGAAAGGTTTATTAAAATTCCATGTCTTAGAGGCCAGCAAGAGGTCTAAGGACAATTCAAGACAGGGCACTGTATTGCAGAATTCAAAAATGCTAACACCTAAAATATAACTATTTTAAGAAAAAAGTCTCAATCCAAGTCCCAGAGTCTTTTTCTGCCATCAGTAACATATGGACAAACCTTTAGAGCAAGATTCAAAATAGATCATGGGCTTGACATAATGCCATCCTGTTCTCTCAAATTAAATATGATAAAGTGCTACAATCCAAAATAGATTATGGAAAGGAAGACCTAGGCATATAAATAAATTATTTCCACAGTGTGGAGATGCACATGGCTATGGAGATCAATTTAAAGAGTGGACTGGTCTTACTAGATTTATTTATTCAATACAAAAATGCCAATTAAATAGGTTTCTGTGTTTGTAACAATGTGCATTTTATGTAAGAAAATAAAATTATTCATGAAGGTTTCCCAAGGCGCTACCATTTAATGAATCAAGAGAGGAAGAACGTTATGAAATCAAAATTGTGACTGTCTTTTGCTTTGGTACATTCCAGTCAGAAAGATCAAGAGACAGTAAAACAAAGACATTCTTATTTAATATCTCAGTGGGTTGGGAGATGGCCTTGCAACAAAGGAGGGCCAGATGGGTGTGGATGGTCCATCAAAAAAAAAAATCAACTATGCCATAGGTTCTTTAGAAAAGGCACATAAGCAATGGAGATCACCTGACCAATGGGGACTGTCAAACAAACAGACAGGCAGACCCCAAGGATCTTTCTAGCAGCTGGAAGAGAAAGACAAAGACATCATCACCAGGGGGTGCCATTTCAGATAGGGGAGGGGGAGGGCAACAACTTGTGCATGACATGATGGGAGGGGGGAAGAGAATGAGGGCATGAAGAGGATGGGCTGAGGACAAAGGCTTCAACAGTGTTACTGAGCATGCTCAGTCCAAGCCAAGCATCAAATTGGGGGGGAACCAACCCCATCCGCGCTCTCCTCCACACACATCATTTCTATCCAGGGGTTACCAAGGCACTGGAAAACTACTTTTTTTGGCAGACAATGTAGCAGTGAGCTGACAGGAGCACTGCATCTAATTCCTATATAAAAGAAAGAAAATTAAATAAACATTAGACCTACTCAGCTCTAACACTAGCATATTCTGACATCTTGTAGCAAGTCACTTAAGGGACACAGGTTAGCCTTACTATTATAATATATATTCTTACGTTGTTACTAACTCTGTGGAGGGAGAGAGACCCTGTCAGGACTCCTGGGCTCTATCTCAGCTCTGGAAGGGGAATGGGGTCTAGTGGGTTACAGCAGGGGGCAGATACGTTTCAGATCTATATAAGAACATCAGGATGGCCATCCTGAGTCAGACCAATGGTCCTTCTAGCCCTGTATCCTGTCTTCCAACAGTGGCCAATGTCAGGTGCTTCAGAAGGAATAAAAAGAAGAGGCAATCATCATGATCCCTCTCCTATCACCTATTTTGTTTGTTTTAAATCTGCTGCCTATACATTTAATTGGGTCAGCTTCTTATGAAAGCTGTTCCTTACCCCCTAATCACTTCTGTTGCCCTTTCTGTAATTTTTTCAAATCCAACGTCTTTTTTTATATGGGGTGACCAGATCTGCATACAGCAGGACTACTCAACATGCGGCCCGTGGGCTGCCTGTTTGTTTGAGGCCCACAGGGCGGTTTGGGTTTACACGGGGCTCAACATGCGACCTGTGGGTGGGAACCAAAGCAAAAAAGTAGTCAATATAATGGTCTTCTGTTGATATGAGTTTTAGTAGTTGAATTCCTGGACTGTCATTGCTCATTAAAAGAGCTGTCATATGGATGGAAACTGGGAAAATATTGCATTTTATTAATAGCAGCAGAACTGATTTAAATGGGGCCTGTGTGTTGTGTAGTCTTGCCTTAATTTTTGCATTTATGCCTGTGAGAGTGAAATAAGCTATTATTTGTATATATACCGTATTTACATGTATATGCAACCAAACTTAAGATGCAGCCCTTGGCATGTGTATCATTGTGGTTCACGGGGCTTCCAAAGTTGAGTAGTCCTGGCATACAATGCCCTTATTCAAGATAAGGGCATACAATGACTTCACACAGAGGCAATATGGTATTTTGTCTTATAATCTATTCCTTTCCTAATGATTCCCAGTATTCTGTTAACTTTTTAGTTTTTAGACTGCCACTGCACTTTGAAGAGATGTTTTCAAGGACTTATCCAAAAGGATTCCAAGAGTCCTTTCTTGAGTAGTAACAGACCCCATCAAGCTCTGTATGTTTGGGGTTAGAACACATCACTTTTGTATTATAGTTAGGATTATATTTTCCCATGTGCATTACTTTTCATTTATCAACACTGAATTCTTTCTGCCCTTGTGCTGCCCAATCACCCAGTTTTGAGATCCCTTTGTAACTCTTTGTAGTCAGCTTTGGATTAGTCACTGTTTCCCCCTTTTTCAAGAACATTTATGAGAATTTTAACAGCAGTGGTCCAAATGCAGATCCTTGCAGCACAACACTCATCCCTACTCTGCAGCTTTTAAGTGGCACATCCGGCAATGTTTTCATGATGATCTAATAATCCTTCAATTGCTTGAATGCCCAGCCTTTTGTTATTTTTAATCACCCCGCCTCCCTCTTTTTATAACAAACTCCCTGCCCCAAAGGCAAAGCTGCAAGCAGCTCAAACTCTGTTGCATTTAAGAACAGCCTCCA